AGAAGACTACCACAAGTTTTTTAAGGACTTTATGTGTCATCACGTTCTCACTATCGAAATAAAAACACATAATATTGTGATAAACTCTTACATTAAGTAGCCATAAAGAAAAATGTGTTCATTTAGCACACTGACACGAACCCGACTGTTTAAAACAGACGTGTTACAATTATGTCAACAAAGGGAGCTACCTGGATTGCTCAGCTAGGTGAATTATCAAACTTTTTCACTTATTTATCAAGTTAGCTGGATGCAAATTAAATAACCACTGAACTAGAGATAAATAAATCTAATACCAGCGTCATAAAATCAGCTCAGAAGTCTTCTCATACAACCGGTGTTATAGTTCTACCTGTAGTGGTGGTAAATGGTGACTTCATCCGGGTAGCATCGGCAATCTGGGTTTCCGCAGATTGCCTTATAAATCCTCTGAGTTGGAGGACTTTTTGCTGGTGGACACTATGGACATTAGATGTCCTCTACGTCCATGGCAACCACCATAGATCAAGACACAATAGACATGGCAACCACGGTAACTGTCAATAAAGGACCAGGACAGATGTAGGCTAGCAGGAAGAGACATTTAGCTGCCCTCCTGATTGCCTGTTTTGTTTATGTAGCAAAGCAGCGTCTATTTGTCGGTTCAAAAATATTTTATGAATCCCAAAAGGGAAATTACATGTTGTTTTAACTCATATTAATTAAAAATGTTCAAAGAGTTGATGCAGATGCTAATGGCTGGGTTTGGAAACCTCCGACTTAAGATACTGATTTCCAGATCTTCCACAGAAGTCCCCAGAACAGAGCATTCATTTTTTCTTTTAAATCAGGTTTAGGCTTTCTATCTGGTTACTTTTTACTTGTTTTGTTTATAATTAAAATGATTCAGTATTATTACAAAAATTTCCAATTATTATTAAATTATTTTAATTATTAAATAAAAATAATGACTATCTGTAATCATTTTGAAAAGTATTAAAAAAATAAAGTATTTTTTAAACAAAAATATATTTTAATATTTTTATACTTATATCTTCTGTATATAAAACATTATTTTGCAGTCATTTCTTAAATATGTTATTTTAATGCATAGAGATAATTTTCTTTATTCATAGGTTTAAACAAAAAACTACAGAGCACATTTAAAAGACCAACAACAATCTCATACTGATCCCAACCAAATTTAAATGTTTCCTAAAAATACAATGTTTCTTCATCTATTTTCCACACCATTTGTTGATCAACTTAAAACTTACATAAAATCCTCTACCTTTTTTCTTCTACTCCCTGTAATGTCACCGTTCCACTTGTGCCTCTCTAATTTATACACATGCAAATAGGCAACTGATAATCACCATATTTAAATGCATTTAAAAAAAAGCAACTAATTTAGCAAATACTAACATCATTAATTAGCCTTGATCACTTCTGTTGATTTCCCAAAAACAAATGAACTGAAGCGTTTAGACTGGTTTGAGCACTTTTTATTGAGGAGGTGACTGTAGAAAAGGAGCAAATGTGTGTTAGCACCTTTAATATCGATGATTATTTGCTGGTTCTTTGTGTTCTTCTGGCAAACACACACAAAGCGGCTGAAGAACATTATGTTAGGCTTGAAGAAGAATCGCTTCATTTACAGAAATTGAGCACCAGAACTGCCATAATTTAGAAAAAAAGCATTATATTTAATTACAATCAGCAATAATTTTGTACAAAATTTGGAACCTAGGGGTTTATAATCAGTGCTCGTGACATTACATAACATAAGGTAGAAACACAAAGCAAGTTTTACAAAGGTTAACCAGGATTAGACAGAAAAAAAAAGTTAAAATACTGGGCGCAGCTGTCTAAGGCATCTCTCATTCAGTTAAAAAAATCTAAACAAATAATACAAAGCAGGAATGAATCTATACAATGTCACAATTTATATATATATATATTTATATATTTTTATATACTTTAACTTACAAACTGTACAAGGTTCTTTCCTTCCAGGCTGGCCAAAACCAACCGAATACCTGTGTAACTTTTTTATAGCCTACATTTACTGGTTCCAAAAAACACTATTTACATATTTATGAAAAACATAAATATCTTTTTCCACCCACACATGTCCAGACAACTTTTAAAATATATTACACCAAATATTGGCCGCCGGAAACTTAAGAAATCTGTCGCCCTGTGTCAAATAACTGAACTTTAATGGCATAAATTAAACCAAAGGTTTGTCAACTGTGAACCAATCAATAAATATTAGGAACTGATAATCAATGCTGGAAGGAAGTCGGCACAAACTGTTTTATCAAAAACGGACCGCATGTAATCAGAGCAGAATCTTCTGTTAATTGTCGTCTGATTTATGGTGGAGAATAACAAAATAAAAAGAAAAAAAACAAACATTTTGTTGCATATTGTGACTGATTGTCGCATAATAAAAGATCCAATCATATAATCAAATTTACACAGTTCTTTATGTTTTTAACAGACTTATCAAACAATAAATAAACTGGCTATCACATGCGCTGGGCTTTTAGCCCCTTCATTTCGTACAATTTTGTAACTTTTGTGTACCAATCACGCGTCGACTTGTACCCAATTTGACAGCTGACCTTTTAAAGTAATTTTTGTTTAATCAGGAGTCACAATCTGTCGTGTTTCATGAGAACCAACAGGCAAAAATAAGATCAGAACCTAAATAAATGCAAGCGTATTCAGACCAAAACCTCAAATTAACTTAAATCAAACATGGAATTCTGACATTTTATGATCTCATCATGAAAAACAACGAGAGATAAAAACATGCAGCGGTTTGTTTACAGGAGCAACAGGGATAAAATGTTGGCGCACTGGGAGGACGAATCAGTCATTCACAGCTGTTTACAGATCAGTTTGATGATTATTTATTCTGCTAGTGTTGCTAAAAATCTGCTTCTGTAGTTTATAACACAATCGTAAAGTAGAAAGTAAAATAGAAAATTCACATCCTGTGTGGAATAAAGTCTAAAAGTCGCCGGATTAACCAGAGGAAAAGTGATTTTACAGTACCGAGCATATCGAGATCTGATTCCTCAGACGTAACCGTACCTAGATCCAACGGTGGAAACAAAATTAAAGTTTATTTATTCATCATTTAATCTCTAATATTTTACATAAATTTAATCTTTTCAACCCTTTAAGGAAACTCAACATTTCAGAAGGTGTAAGCTGATTGAATGACGATTTTAATTGTATCGGTTGTTTTAAATTCCTTAAACTCAAGTTGATAAAAGTTTCTGTATTTTCAACATGTCTGACAATTTTCTAAATGCGTTTGGACAGATGAGTTATTTTATTCAAAGCTGCGAAAGTTTTTATGAATTTTGTGTCATTTGATAGTTTCACTCCTGTTGCTTCACATGTTGGGATTAAAACAGTTTCCGTTTTGTCTTGATGGTTTGATAGGCGACCAATACGGAAACATTTAACCGCCAGAGACGGGGAATAAGTTCAGGAGCAGCATTTCAATTTAACGACAAATATACAAAGTTTCTCTTCTTAAAACGGAATAAATTAGCTCCTTGTGACTCTCTGTGTTCTCATTTAATTCAAAATTCAAAAATACTTCATTGAACCCAGATTGAATTTAAATAATAATAATAATAATAATAATTAAACAGCATTTTTTTTTATCTTAATTATAGAAATATTGTTATAACAACATATAAAACTAGTTTCATATGAAAAAGTCTCATTTTAACAAAATGCTGCTCCCGTTTTGTTTTTTTCTTTACTCTGGCAGTTAAACATTTTTTTGTGGATCACAACAAATAATTTTAATAAACTTCTAAATCTGTTCAAACTGGAATCCTGATAACTTCTGGATTTCCATTTCAGTTATATTTGATCCCAATTTCAACAAATTTCTTATCTTAGACTGAGTTAAATGCTGCTGCTGCTGCTGCTGCTGCTGCTGCTGCTGCTGCTGCTGCTGCTGCTGCTGCTGCTGCTGCTGCTGCTGCTGCTGCGTTCAGGTCACTCTGAAGCAGTAGGTAGTCGCAATAACTGAACTGTTTCACTCACAGCGGATCTACTGGCCGTTTTCTGTTACGAGATTCACATAAATTTTAAATTAAATAAAAACTATCAAAATGAGAAAGTGTAATCCTCCATTCTGATTGCAAGTTATATTAATCCTGTAAGTTAAAGAAGCTCCATTAAGCCCCAGGGTACCGAACATGTGGTCCGCAGGCCATTTGTGGCCATTGAAATGATTTTAAATGATCAAGAATAGTACAAATTTGACCAACAGAACAGAAAATAACTAAATTGTCAGTTTTTCTTTTAATTAGGAAACAATCTGAGGCCTTTTATGTTTTTGATGTCTAAAGATTGATAGATCTCATAAGAATTGTGTTTATTATCGAGCCAGTAAAAAAGAAAAATCAAAATAAACTAATTTTTGCATTTTAATTTAATTAATTTTGATGCCTGTGAGTCACTTAAATTTGCCAGTTTTGGGACAGGGACACCAATGATTTAGCCAAGATCTAGTCAAGTTAATCAGTGTGTAAGATTTCATTAAAATGTTTATTATTTATTAGTAGTAGTAATTGTAGTAAGAGGAGGCTGTTAGCTCCCCTCATGTATATAAAACAGTGAATGCCAACTAAACGTATTAATTTTCACAAGATATGTTGAAAAGTGACCAAAAATTAAATTAATATTCCACTGAGGCAACATTTATTTTGGGCAATTTAAAAAGCATTTCTTGATTTTTGAGAGACAGCAGAGACAGAAACCATCACAGAATCCCCGTTAGCATGTTGACGCCTGAATCACTCTGTGGGTTGACGACACGGAGTTAAACACCTGCAAGCCGCAGAATTAAAGCCGAGTTTCGTTCGGACGCTTTTCACACTAGCAGACAAATCTTTTAAAACCGGATATAAACTGCGATGAATAGCTTTGCTGGGTCGGCCTCAGGGGAGGATTTCTTTATGCATCAAGTCAGTGAGAGGAGATTTTTTTTTCGGGGCTTCATCTGGGTTATTTCCCTTGTGCGAGTCGCACACACTTCCTGACTCCTTCCTGTGGCAAAGTTCTGAGTGTTTTGGTAAAAAAAAACTCATAAGTTCTTGGTGTTTATGTGAGTTTTGTAATGCTTTGTCAGGTGGTCGCTCCTCATGAAGCGTTTCTTACACTGACTGCACTCGAAGCGTTTGTCTCCTGTGAAAAAAACAAAGAAATGATGAGGAACGCATTTAAGCACAACTTAATAAAAAGACATAAAACTTTTTTCTTTGACTGAAGTTAAAGCAAACCAAACTTTTCTTAATTTAGGTAAGTTAGAGTTATTAAAATTATTTCTGTTTGCTAAATTATGAGAAAGAATGTGTCAGAGATTTATTTTTTAATGTCTGCAGAATCAGAAGTTCAGATTAATTTTATGTTTAACGTTGGAGGAGTCTGTGGTTAATTGTGATGTAAAACCACACAGACATGATTGTTGGGATATTTTCAGGTTAATTCACACATTTGTTGTCTTTGTTTCCCTTCCGTCCTCACCAGTGTTTTGTACTTTTTACATTCAATGTTTTGGTCACTATAAAGGCTAAGTGAAACTAATTCACAGACATTCAGAAAGGGCTGAAACAACTAACTGTAATAAGTCGATTATTGAAATAATCGTCAACTAATTTAGTAATAGATTAATCGTCAAGCAGATTACACAGACTCCTGAAAGGACAACACACCCAGAGCGGTAATTAAGCCAAAACTGTTCAAATATGTAAATATTTGCATAGAAGATTAAAAAATGTACTTAAGGGCAAAATAATCTACTTAGTGTATAAATAACAATATCTGTTCGACAAAAAATATAAACATTTGGCATTTAAGATGAAAGATAATAAATAAAATTCTCTAAATATGTTCTACTTGTAGCTCAATCAGTGCCATAGTTTTCCCTTCCCCTGGTTCAAATTTTTTAAAAAAAAAAAAAAAAAAATGTATCAAGCATCTGATGTTCAGTTACTAATTGGTTAATTCAAACAATAATCAACAGATTAGCTCTGTATTGATAATAAATGAGAGGTTGAGCTTTTCATGTGTTTAAGTATTTTTTTAGACATCCTTTGTCACAAATTATCAAACGTTCACTAGGGAAATGCTACGTTGTTGCATTTTGGACAATACATGCTTTTTCCTTATTTAAAAAGAGGAATTGAATTATTTATTTAATTGCATTTTTTTAAACAAATTTTCAATATTGTATAAAGAAGGGGTAAGTTAAATGCAAAATCTGCAGAATTTGCAGATTGCTAATCTGCAAATTCTATGACTAATCAGATTTTTCCAATCCGATTAGTCATCAGAATAATCAATTACTAAAACATCTGTTAGTTTCAGTCCAGCATTTAACCCACTAGTTCATCTGGAGCCATTCTGTGCAGAACCAGAACAGATCCCTGAGGGATGCCTTCTTTCATGATGCGCTTACCTGTGTGCGTCCTCGCGTGCCTCTGCAGCTCGTCGCTGCGTGTGAAACGTTTCCCGCAGAAAACCCAGTTGCAGACGAAAGGCCTCTCCCCCGTGTGCAGCCGGACGTGGGCTCTGAGGAGCGACGTTTTCCTGAACGTCTTCTCGCAGCCAGCGACGTGACAGATGTGTTTCCTCTTCCCCACCTCCCCGGGCCTGCACCACAAACGTTAAAGGTTATCACGCTTTCTTCAACAGGTTAGGACAGTTACAATGTTACATGTTCATTACTTTAAATCCAAATAAACTGCTGCTGGCCACAGACCCAAATTCAACGTTTACACTCATGTGAAAATGGCTAAAAACAGATGCACAATTATACAACCGTACATCTTTGAAAAGCAAAAGTGGAGCCTCCTGAACAACCAACAAAAATGCCACAAGCCATTTCTGGATGGTAAGTCAACAAAAAACAAAAAAACCACTTGTCTTTTCCAGCAGCCATTGTGCAGTGCGTGCAGCAGTAGAACCTGCTGATCAAACGTGTTGGAGCTCTGATATATACGTTTTATTTTACCAGGATAATCAATTGATCAATCTAGCTTATTTGTACAGCACATTTCAGGAGGTGGTTCAAATTGTTTTACATCATAAAAACACAAAACTACAAAGTCCTATAAGACACAACACAGTCAATAACTGAGAAAACCCGGTAAATGAGTGTCATCATTACAAATCAAAATGTTGGTTAATAGGATAAAAAAAATTCACTGAGATTGAAAACCACTTTAAGGGAGTCCTGTCCAAAAGGCAGCAACAAATACAACACAGAGAAAGCCAAGAGGCTCTGGGGTCACAAGGTGAGAGGCAATTCCTGCTGATCGGTGACGTTAAGAGGGTTGGCTCATTCTCCAAACGTCAACTTATTGGGTTGTTTTTGGAAGCAGTAGAAACCCAAATCAATGCACAAACATGTGTAGAACGTAAATTTTGTATAACATGTTCCCTTTAGTAATGCCAAAGCAGCTGAACGACCAGCCCAACTTGAAGAAGGCAGACGGTGATCTTGTGAGTCAACAGCAAAACATTTGTCTAAAACAAAGCAGACGGCAGTAAAACCAGCTGACCAAACCGGCTGGAACTTCAGTTGGGTTGCTAGGTAACGAGGCTGGGCTAGGCTGGGGTTGCTAGGTAACGGCGCAGTGACAGCCTGGGTAGGCCTGATAGGACAATAAACCGTCACAGAAATTATCGTGACAAACGATAATTTTGTTGCTTTGAGACAATTTTCATGTAACATAATGGTAATGGTAGAATAATGCAGGAACACATTCTCAACTTTAAACTCTAGTGAACATTTATCACTGGAAATGGAAAACATTTTAAATATCTAAAATAAATACATACAACAAATAAAATGAATTATGAAGTCTGTAAAGAAAACTGAGCCCAATAAGCCAGACTGAAGACTTTTGTCATTCAGATATTGGTAGAAAGAGAGACAAAAGATCACGTAAATGGAAATTATTGACTGATTATCGATTGATTTACTGATTATCGTGACAGGCCTATTAAGTACTTGTGCTGTTTTTAGAAGCTGTTTGGACTCAAATAGAAGAACAAAAACATGTAAAATGTGAATTTATCATAATAGGTCCACTTAAGAAACATACCAAGTATAAACAGGATGTAAAACCTTTTCTCCAAACATATTTGTGACAAACTGAATTCGCCTCTCTAAAGCTAACCACTGCATCCGCAGGTATTTCTCGCGCTCACCTCTTGTCTGCGTCTTTGCAGTTGGGGCATGTGCAGGCCATGCGACGTTTCTTCTCCCCGGGCTGACCTGGCAGCTCCAGCGTCAGCGTCTGGTCCACCTGGATGGCCGGCTGGCCCTGCGCTGCTGCCAGCTGCAGGCCTCCGCCATGCACCGTCTGCACCGTCAGGTGCTGCTGGCCTAATTAAAGCACATCAATCAGTGACATACAGCAGGATTACATCAGGGCTGGACTATCGATTAATGGGGAGTTAAATAAACTGCCGACTTGAAAGTCAGGAATATTTCTTTTCTTTAAGTTGAATGTACGTTAGGGCTGCAACTAACAATTATTTTAGTTTAGTTATCAATTATTCTGATGATTTAAGAGATTAAAAATTCTGCAGATTTTTAATTTAAGCATTTTATACCATAATACAAATACATTAAAATAATTCCTTTTTGAAATAAAAAAAATTAAATTTATTTTGCCTAAAATACAATAATGTAACATAATGTTTTTGTCTTTATGCAACACTTTGGTGCAGTTTTAACCTGATTTTAAAAGTCCTGCATAAATGTATTTGAATGCATAAATACATTCCTTTAGTGACTCTTAAACATTTGCAGCGTTTTTTTTTTATTAACCAATTAAGAAATTGATAAAATGTGCTTAATAAGAGATTTGTTTACATAATTTGAAGCAAACGAACTAAAACAATGGCACTTCAAGAGTTTTGGGTTGATGAAGTTTTCTTTTCAATGCACAATGTATATATTTTTGTATAATTTTGATTTAAGTATTGCTCTGAATACCTTGTTCTTTCAGCAATTTGCTTTTGTTTAAGTCTTTATACTCCAGTTAACAATTAATTGATTCCCAAATTAGTTTGCCATTATTTCAATAATCAAGTATATCTGCACATTTCAGCAACAAGGCAGTTAGAAAATGTAAATACCTTATTTTATCCATGCTGTAACCTATTTTCTCAGTAATGAGAGCGAACGCCTCATCGTCTCACCTCCTGCGTTGGTGATGGTAACCGGAACGCCCTGGACCTGAACCCCGTTGATGCTGATCGTCTGCACTGCTTGCGTCGCATTCAGCTGCGACGGACTGAATGCGATCATTCCTCCTGCAGGGGCGATCTTCGCCAGAGTGCGCTCCTTTCGCGCCCCGGCCTGCGTCCTTTTGCTGCCAGCAGGGGGCGATGTGGGGGGCGTGGGCGCAACAGAGGTGGTAGGGCTCGTCGCCTTTGAGCCTGAGTCCTGTAGTTGAACTGACTGCCACTCGCCTGAAGCTGTTTTGAAGAGGATCTAAGAAAAGAAAGAGTTAAAAAAAATTACAATGAGAAATGCAGTGAGCTGATTTACAGAGGTTTTCTCTTAAAGGGGCAGCATTATGTAATTTCCAGGCTCACAGTGGCTTTTTTAGCACAATCAAGTGTTTATGTTCCCTTCAGTTGCTACAGAAACGATGTAAATCTCAAACATTGATATTGGCCTCTGTCTCTTTAAGAAGCTCCTACTCTTTCAAATACGTTATCACAGCAACGTTTCTCCATTATGAAGTTTAATTTATCTATGAATCACACTGTTGCAAAATATTTTATTTAATTAACTGACATGTTGAACATTATCTTCCATAAAAACTAAATAAGTAGCGGCCACGAACTAAAAAGTTAGCTGTGCTAACCCTAAAGCTCTGATCATAGATAACAGCTCCGCTAACGCTAAAGCACGACACCAACACAGCATTTAGCAGAAGCTAATGCTAAAGCAAAACCTTCAAATTATATCTTGACATAAATATTCTATAATGCCCTTAGATACTGTTTTATGTTTATATCTAACATCTAATATAACAAGAGAACAGGAAACGGAAGTCCTGTGTAAACAGTCTTCACCCCCTTCAAAATAAGAGCATGGTATAAACGTCTACTTGAAGTACTCTTCACAGTCGATATTCAGTACAGGTGTCAAACTTCATTCAACTGAAAGCTGAATGAAGTTTCAGCCAAGTAAATTAGCACTTTACCATTTATCTGGAAATATTAATTTAGGGGAAGATAAGTGAGCTAAAACATTTCCACCTGTTTTTTTTATTATTATTCACCAATTAGTGCATGTAAGAGAAACATTACAGACTAATAAACAGAGGTACTGATCTACAAAATAACAGCTAACTACAAAAAAGAAGGTACACATTAAGATGGATACATTCAGGACAAAAACAAAAACACAGAACATAATAAGATGGTGTCACAACAAAAACAATCAAATTATTTAACATATAAATATTTCAGAGTTAGCAAAAGCGCCAAAAGGCCAAACAAAAAATTAGCTCTGCTATAAGTGGATTAGCAGAAATGTGGCCAGCAGCGGAAAACACCGACACTTCAAGCAAAGCTGACAGAGCGTAAACATGTCTCATTTAAATATTGGTGCTGCAGCTGACTTCCTGTCAGTCTGTAGCGATACGGACTGACAGACAGACTGAGACGATACCTGGGTTGATGACGGTTCCTGTGCAGTCACCTGCAGACTCGGAGTGACAGGCTGTTTCTGTGGGACCGGAGGCAGCGAGGCAGAAGCAGCTTTCACCACTTTCAAAGCCTGCTGGGGAATCTGGATCAATTGAGACTCCGTCTTGGGCTGAACCACCTGGACCTGTTGCACCATAGGTGGCTGCCCAGGACTCTGGACGATCAGCAAATTGTTCCCCGCCTTCACAAAAACACAGGAAAGCTCATCTTTGGATGTCAACAACTTTAAGTTATGCTTCCTTAATTAATGAGTCTAGGGCCTGTCACAATAAATAAAAGGATAAATTAATCGCATGATAAGTTAAAGCGATATCAATAATTTCCATTTGCATGATGTATAAGTTTTCTCTTTTTACCAAAAGTTTTCAATCTGGTGCTCTGGTCTCAATCTGGCCCTTTTTTTTGAAGGATAATTTTATTTACAGAGACTTTATAATTAATTTTGTTTGTTGTTTCTGTTATTTTATTTATTTTTAATATTTAAAATGTATTCCAGTTGTAGTGATAAATGTTATAATTTAAAGTTTATTGATCTTTGAGAAGGTTTTTGCATTATCGTTATATTACTTGAAAATGGGCTCAAAACTACAACATTGTCATTTATCACAATAACTTCTGGGACAATTTATTGTTGTTGTGACAGGCCTAAATGATTCTACCTCAAAAATATTCTCACTTCACCTGGTTGTTTGGCAAAGAGTTCATCTGGCAATCTTTCAAAAAGAGGTTTGTATTTTGTTTCTTGCTTGTTTTTTGAGTTGCTGTTAAAGCCTGAATGGCTAACTTTTATAAAACAACATATATGTATGCACAGTACAATGGTTGCTGGGAAATGCAAATATTTTGTTGTTGACTTACTATCCAGAAACTACTTACTGCATTCTTTTTGCTTGTGCAGGAGGCTCCACTTATGCTTTTCAAAGATACAGTTTTATTATTGCACATCTGTTTGCAGCCATTTTTACAAGTGAGTGTAAATGTTGGGAGGCGTGGAAAGAGGCAGCTTATTTTGATTTAAAGCAACAAGACACCTTAAAACAGCTCAGTAGAACTGATTGGGCTAAGATTTCATTATCCAAGAAGAATTTTGTTCAGAAACTGTAATGAACATGCTTTGTATAAGTCATAGACATATCCTAACCTGTATTATGTTATCTCCGGCTTCAATCAAAATGGTCTCCATCTGCTCTGGTGGCGGAGAGGCGGCCTGAGCCGGCGGCGGTTCAGCTGGCAGAACCACTTTCTTCTTCCTCCCTCTTCGCCCCTTCCCAGGTGTGGGAGGCGAGGCGGCCGTCTCCGTGACGACCGGAGACCCGCCCACTTCTCCGGTTGCGACGTTAAGGGGCAGAGTGAGCCCGGCGGGCAGCTGCATCACGTTCGCAGCGCCGCTGTTTGCCTTCCGTACCTTCAGTGACGGTTTGATGGCCACGGTCTTCTGAGGCGTGACCGGCGTCGCCGCAGCAGCCGCAGGCACGGTCATGGGAGTGGTGATGATGGCCTGGTTGGTGCCTGGGATGAGCTGGATCTGACCGCCCTGCGGCATCACCTGGATCTGCGGCATCACCTGATACTGGATGTTGGCGGGCCCGGCGGCGTTGGTGCGTGCGGGGCTCTGCTGGATCGTAAGCACGATGGGACTGCCGGGAGCGGAGTGGCCCAAGCCGGGCGGCAGCTGGATCACATTGCCCTTCGCTGAGAGGAAACCCAGGTTTTTGGGCGGAGCCGGTGCGATGGGGGCGGGCTTTATGGGCTGAAGCCTGCGAGGCTGCGGCTGCGCTGGAGGAGAGGCGACGGGGGCCTGAGCGGCAGGGGGTCCGATTTTACTGCAAGTAGCAGCCAGAAGGGCCAGAGGAGACGGCTGTGTGTCCTGCTGTGAGAAAACCAGGAATCAAATCAATTTGATTTAATACATTTCATTATTACCTAGGGCTGGGCAAAATGGCTGTGAATGTATTACGATATAAGGGCTGCATATCAGAAAAAACAAAAAACAAAAGTTAAAAAAATTATACATAAATGAGTAAAATAAAACCTTGTCTACCTTTCAGTCTGCACAAGTACTATTTTCTTAACAAAAAGTGTCCACAAATACTATTCAAATACATATAATAAATAGTCTATCACAGTAAAAAAATATATATATATAAAAGTAAAGAATATATCAGTGGGATCTGCTTATGAGACAACGTTACATTTCTGAAGAAGAGTTAATGTTTTTATAAGTTTCTGATTATTTTTCAACAGAGGCAGCATATGTTGTTAAAATTACTAAATGAGGGGATTTATTTCACTCCATTTCATCCTGTGAACATAATATTCGCTACATTTATTATATAAATGTATATAAACATTTATTATATAGACAAATATATATTACATTTATTATATAAATGTAGCAAATGTATAAATGTAATGTATATATTTATATAATGTATAAATATGTATATTTCATCTGAAGAAAAGGCTGAATTGTTAAAGATGAGAAAAATTAGCAAATTTTATAAAACAGTGTTCTTTCCAATTTTCTCTGTAAGGAGTTTTTGCAAATCCAACCAAAATATCCCAGCATGAGAACACTCCACAAACAAATGTTCAATACTTTCACCTTCACACTGACAAACACGCCAACCCATCTTAACTGTGAGACGTTTAGTGGTTAAAGCCTTGCCTCTGCCTACATCTCCCAGAATGCAGTGCAGTTCTGGATCAGAGTTCAGTAAAATCTGAATGTTCTATGGAATGTAACGTCTACCGATACTGATCACATGTCTATCGCGATAAGCAATGGTATTGATTTACTGTCCAGCCCTGACGACATAAGTATAATCAGAATGCATGGAGTGGCAGCACATGCAGTTACTTACTTGTGTAGAAGCAGTGGAGGGCTGAAGGTATTCACTTGGACTAACAGCAACAGTGGCCATACTGTCCTGTTGTTCTGAAAAACACAAAGCAGAGTCAAACAGGTGTGTTTTGGCTGTTCATGAGCCAAACATGTGGACATCTAATGCACTCAGAAGAGAATAAAAACCCAAGTTATCATGTTAATAGATGACAAAATATCACATACTCACTGTGTGCCCGTTTGATTTCACATTAACTTAATTATGTTTGCATCCAGACTATAATAAATGCAGACATTAAAGAACACTGGGGGTTTTGCACAGAGGTGGGTAGAGTACTCAAGTATGAGTAGCTCTACTTCAACATATTTTACTGAAGTAAAATTAAAAAGTGTCTGTTCAATAAACTACTCAAGTAGTAAGTAAAGTAAAAAAGTACTTGTTAAAAAGGTGACTCAAGTACTGAATAACTGTTGAAAACATTATTTTTAAAAGTTACGTCATTGATCGGACCAAAATAAGTTGGTATTTTAAACATCAAAATTACTCATGATCGGTTTTCCAAATCAATTCATTTGAAAATAAAACTTCTGAAACTTTAACAAACACTGCAGGTGTGTTTCTGTCTCTGGTGAATTTTGAATAAAACATGTTTTTTTGTTCATTCAGTGAATGGACAAAAAGACTTTTAGGAGTAAAAATACTCCCTAAAAGTCTTTTTTCCCAGAAAGTTACTTAAGCAAATGTAACTGAGTAAAAGTAACTAGTAACTATCCAACTCTGGTTTTGTATGCCAACTCTCCTTTATTAGTTTCTGATAAAATAGGTCAGAAATTCACCTGAAAATGTCGCAATGCACTTAAATAAAATACATCAAAAGCGTTCAGCTACAAAAGCACTAAAGGTACTCTACATTTATGTTCAGTTTTGTAGGTTTTCAAAAAGAAAAACCATTTGAAATATGTCACTTTCTGTAGTAACTGAATTCCTGCCTGATAGACACCGACTAGTTCAGGTCTCAGTATCTAACTAAAGCACATGCAGCTGTCCCAGCTGCAGTAAGAACCACAGAACAGTGCAATTCCACATTATAAGCTTATATTGATAATAGATTACATCAACTTCATTGTTCCCAAGGGGCAATTTGCTTTGCAGACAGCAAGAACTGAAGATAAATACATTAAAAAAATTACACTAAGAGTAGACCACAACATCCACACAGCACCACAGTACAATCATATACAGCCTCGGTTTGTTTGGGCTTATGTCAAATTATTCATGAGGCTGACACTAACGGGGACAAATTATTATTTATAGTTTTTTCTGTTACATTTTATCACCATATATCTATAAGAAGAAGGCAGAAACCCGTAACGGTGATGAATAGGGCTGCATAATATATCGCAAATTTATTGTTAGCACAGAATCACTTAATAGAACCATGCAGCAAAATGTACAAAGCATTCAGGCCCTTCAATATATTTGGTGACACTTATTTGATGAAGCACAAGAACATTTATAAAGTAAAAAGTTGGTGCAGCCATTTAAAAACCAAAGTTGTTTCATTACCAAAACAGCCAACATCAGCCAGAAGCAACCTCATGGAGCTGGACATTTAATTTTTCCTTTAGTTTTATAGACCATCTCCAACAGCGTCTTCACAGTTCTGACTAAAACAAAAAAATCAATCCTCCAGCTGCAGCTGATCCAGAACGCTGCTGCTGGAGTTCTGACTAAAACCAGGAAGATATAGCACATAACACCAGTCCCTTCACTGGCTTCCTGTAGCTCAGAGAATGGACTCTAAAATACTGTTAGTTTATAAATCACTGAAAAGCTCAGCACCACAATACATTAAAGATCTGCTGTTGTCATGGCAACCTTCCAAGCCACTCAGGTCTTCTGGTTCTGGTTCTGCTCTGCATCTCCAGAACCAATCATGGAGAAGCAGCATTCAGCTTCTATGCACCACAAATCTGGAACAAACTTCCAGAAAACTGCAAAACAGCAGAAACACTGAGTTCTTCAAATCCAGACTAAAACCCAGCTGTTTGGAGTTGCTTTTGAAACATTATAAATAGAAAATTAACCAACATTTTTATGTGTATTGAAGATTTTAACGATGGCACTTGACAAAATGTTTGTTGCTGGTTTCTACAATCAGTGACTGTATGATGTGTTTGTGATCTTTTTATGTTTTCATCATGTAAAGCACTTTGAACTGCCTTGTTGTTCAAATAAACTTGAATGACTGAATTATTTATAACGACCTTCATCAAAAATCACAGCAATATTAAAATTGATACTACATGCTAAAATATTCATAACAAATGCAGCTTGCAAACAAAGACTCAGCAGCAGTGCTTCAACGGTTTCCACTGTGCATTTATATAAATACAGAAGAACAAGTCTCAAGTCAACAAACAGTAGGTTTGTTGCTGTGTTTAGTGCATTTTGGCTAAAATGTGTTTGTTCCTTATGTAGTGAAGTTACTTCACAGTGCATAGAGCAGCCAGAAATTTTACGTAAGTAAGAGTAGCAATGCTTCTTAATTAGAGCTGCAATGGTAAATTGGCCGATTTCCTTAATTATGGGAGATTGGTGATCAGCTGATACATGTGAAACTGACCTTATCCACCAATCTTATCTACTTTGGGAAAGGTCAAAAAGTCAACATCTGTCCTCTTTTCTTCTGTTGTGAGAGATTTGAAAGACAGACCGACAGACAGGTGCACCTCTATTCTTAATAATATAATATCTCTCTACTAAAAGTAAAAATTTTAGTGCAGTAACACTACTCTTAAAAGTACTGTTTTCCACAAAACATTACTTATATATATCTAAATAGCTACTACCCACTTATGGTAAAAATATATATATATATATTGAAGTAGTGCTAATCTTGAGAACAATTTCTGGGTTCTCTACCCACCTCTGTCAAGATGTAGTAGGAAAAGACTAAACAGAAACCTCAGAGTTTTGTTTTACAGCAAATGACACCTGATTTCAGCATTCTTCATCTGATGATAACGCCACTTAAATACCTCTCAAAACTGTACAAAACCAAAAATATTAATAATAAAACATTAAGGAATCAAAAGTAGTGTTTTCGCCAAGCCCAAGCAGCTGGGTTTAGTTTCCTCTGAACAAGCTACTAGCGTTAGCAAGAAAGCGCAGAGCTAGCAGGCTGGTTTAGCATCTATGCAACTTCCCCCTCCTGTAACACGAATTACAATTTAAACTGAACTAGCACAATCAAAATATCTAAATGATTTATTAGGGTGAGGAGGAACTGAATGCGAAGAAATTGGGGACAAGTGAACCACCAGCTACATAGCAATGTTTAGCATTCGCAGCTAGCCAGTGAAACTCTTTGATAACGTTATAGAAAAAAATGCAGCCCTTTTCCGGAAGTTCGTGGCTCATTCTAGTGCATCGAACCAACCCGGTTCTGATAAAACACGGCTATATGTGCACAAGACACTCGGCGCTTTACTCCACAATAGCAATACATTGTTTATGAAGTAGAATGTAATATAAACACCAATGTTTTCATTCCTACCCACCGCTCATGACGACATTCGCTCTCCACAGCCTTGAAGACCAAGACATGAAGGAATCCGCCCGCGCGGCTGCACCAATCAACGGTCAGCAACGGGTTGATGGACAGCCAAACAGACCAATCAGCTTTGAGGGATTTAGTGATTGAAAAGTACTGAACCACTCCTAAAAGGCTATTTCTGTACAGCCAACGGTTCAACCAATAGGATGTCGCCTTTGCACTCAGGGGGGAAGTTCCTAGAGGATAATCCAGTACCCTATTACAGCGAGATTACACGTTCACTGACATGGCTAGCGACCAATGTGATGTCGGAGGGGCAGTTCAGCCGAAGCAAGAATGACAACCGTGTGGAGCAATTAACGTTAAGGTGCTCCTGTCTGTGCTGTTTAAATGAACTCAGGCGCGATCCTAAAGAGCAGGCCGTTATATTTGACAACATACAGTGTGCTTTTAGATAAATTTGACATAAATTTAGGTAAAAGGTCTTCATATGCCATAACGTTAGCAGTGGCGCTCCAAGAAAATTTGAATAGGGGTGACCAGATGAATTTTAGGGTGGAACAATCAGTCAGTAAACAATGTAGACAGATAGATTTATGAGTCTTGTTTGTCAGATTAAAAGTACTTTTAAAAATAACTATTAAAGAGGTATTGAACATATTTTTTATTAAACCCACATTTCCAGGGTTTCTTTTTTTAGGTAATTTTGGTCTGGTGTAATTTCCTATTCTAAATTTGATGTTTTTATTAGATGTAAGTGGAAAATAATCATAATTAACAGAAATAGAGGCTTTCAAACATTCTTCTGTGCTTAATAAATTTTATATAAATGTATATTATAGTTTCTGAAATAAATGAGCTTATCAATGATATTCATAATTATTGGCTCTGTAAATACCCAATATCAACACTGTTGTCATATCAACATTTCAGACCATCCAAATTTTAATTATCATTGATTGTACTTTGCATTTCAGTTTTTCTTTATTTTGCCGTTAAACTGTAATATTTATTGCTTTATCATGTTTTATATACAAATAAACGTGCCTTGCCATGTATTAACTGAAAAAGATGACTGTGAAGTTTGTATGAACAAATAAATTAAAGGCGGTTGATTTCTTCTCTAAGGGGATTCCAGATGATAGGCCAACACAGATTCGTGTGTAAAGCAGTGGTCACCAAAGTTGGGCCTCGAGGGCCGGCATCCTGCATTGTTTAGTTCTCTCCCTGGTGGTAGTAACAACCTTTTCAGCGTGTCACTGTTCTTCTTAGGTCTCTAATGAGCCATCATTTGATCCAGGTGCATTAAACCAGGGAGAGAACTAAAACATGCAGGATGCCGGACTGACTTTGAGGTCCACTGGTGTAAAGGGACTAGACAAAAATGCTTGGTACGATTTTGTGTTTTTTCAGTGTATATCTATAAAAGTTAAATAATGCTTTTTAACAGAATTATCTTACTCTACAAGTCAAACTCTGTGAGATGTCCTTGACTTCAATATTTCAGCGCCTGTCTCAGACTTTGAGATAGTATCGCTTCTTCCCAGTGATATCCAAGTGTTGTTTTTAAAACTCCGTCCCCCTGAAATGTAGATTAAAAGATTTGAAGAAATAAAACCCTTTGCCATGTTGGGATTGGTCACATGCCATAAACACACAACATTTAATCTCCTGATGACATCACAATGGAGTGATTTCTGTGTGATCTCATTGCTAAATCAGTGAAAAAGGAGGCAGAGGGAATGAGGGGATGACAGAGTAAGACACCAAACAGAACCATCAAAGAAGAAGAAGATACCTAATTTTAAATTCAGCTCTATAAAGCCTGATATCCTGTGTTCATTCCAGGAAGGAATGATCTTCACCACTGCCTTTTGCTTTTGTTCATCCTTTACTTTTCTAGCAGGTTTTGTTTTTGCCTTTTTGCACCTGCATTAGAGCTCAGAACCCATCTTTAGTAAAGTTATTTTTAGAACTATTAATATATTGATTTTGGCTTTTTATTGAGGTGGTCAGAGTGGTCAGCTCTGGCCACTCTGACCACTAGATTTCTTAAAGCTAATTAGGGCTGCAAATAACGATTATTTCAATTATGCTATCGATTACGCTGACAATTAATCAATTACATTTTTTACTTTCAAGCTTAGAACTTTAGAAAAAGTCTAGGAAATTTCTGAGATTAATCTTTTTTATTTGGCGGAAATATATTCCGTCTTTTTTATCGCCTTCACCGTTGTCGTAGCACATCAGTAATTTTTGAATGAGAAGTTGACGCAACTTCGTCATGCAGCTCAGCTGAATGAGCGCTGTCAAGGTGAAACTTGTCGAGTGTTTATATTTCAATACAAAACCGCATACTGTACATTTTGTATCCAACAATTGAGCTTGGAACCTTTCTCTTTCTGTTCAGGAATGGCCGCCATCTTTGTTTCTGCAACTGGATCCGAGTCCGCTTAAGCATGACCAGCGACGCCCTCTGCTGGATAGCGGCCAAATTACAACAGTAGAGAAAGGGCTAAGCAGACGTTATTATTTAGAAGATTGGGAACTAATTTTAATCTAATAAATGACCCTAATCCATATGATGCAACATTTTTATCCATGATTAACCATAATCTCCAGTCCAATAGCAATTTGTTTCTTCAAAAAAAAATCTAATTTTCAGCAACATATATATGCCACAACCTCTACCTGGTTGCTGGGACTTGGAAAAGAAATGAACACTTGTTGGTTTTTTTGTTAGCTTTGTTTGTCATAAGGACTTCCTGACATGATTCCTGCAGTGCCTCTGGATGTCAGTCCCATCTGCCCTCACCATCAGCTGAGCTTCCCTCCAGCACTTTGACTAGACCTGTCTCTCTGTTACTCACCCCCTCCACAATGCACCGCACCACTCTTTATTTACAGTGAGTCTTTACCAAAAAATGTACTTACCCTCATAAAATGAGTACTTCTTTCTTCTCAGTGGGCCCTTTCTGCATCATTGTAAAGGATTTCAAAGTGCAGAGGAAACACAATTTTTTATTTATTTGTAGTTTTTCCCAATAATACCTAGAAAATTTGCAAAATTTAAGTTTTGACTCTGTATAATAATTTACACATCCCTTTCCTGAAACAAAGTTGACTACTTTATTTGTTAAATTAAAGTTGCTTAATTTATTGCTGAGTATGTAAAAAGTGAAGTAATTTAAACAAAAAATATTGATTTCTGTTTTTATTTTTAATTATGTCAGCTTTAGTCCTCCATATCCTATCAGCCATTGTTGTTAAAGTTTTGAACATATAGATATTTTTTATCTCCAGTGTTGCTCCTGTTTGTATAATTTGTATTGTGAATCCAATGCAGAAATAGAGAAAATCAGATTTGGAAAAAGTGGAGATTACTTTGCTTTGCGAATTCCCCTCAGGAAGATTTGAGTTTTAAACATTTAAGAAGATATGTGTAATTAGAAAACAAAGTTGTCTTTAAGCCTCCAGTAGACTGTGAGGCGCCTTTATTGTGTGCTAAACAGTGCTGCATTCACTAGCACAAAAATGAAATAATTTAAAGTGATCAAATCCCCATATTTGCAAAAGTTCCTTCTTCATTTATTAGTCAAATTATTTCACCTAAATGTAATTTTTTTAAATCAGCAGCACAAAGAAAAACGTTAAGAAAAAAGCAAAGCTTCGCATCAAGGCCCAAAGCCTAGTTGCCATGGAGATAGTTAAGTGTCTTTCATTTGAAGTATACATAACTAAAATTATCTCCATGGCAACTGCAGTGAAAAGTTAACAGAGATTTTTAGGAGCTACTATATCTTCATTTAGTCAAAGGACCAAGAATTAAAATTTTAGCTAATTAAAAATAGAAAAAATATTAGATTAAACAGACCAACAACAGTTGGAATAAATTAGTCTTGCTTTTAATTTACATCTAAAAATAAAACTTGTACAGGACTAATATTAGCTCAAATGGGCAAAATACTAAAATTATCACTGTGTTTTAATGATTCGCAACCATATTGTTGATAAATCTCAACCTTCCAAATTCTGTTGATATTTTGATGTCACAGTTGATCTTTCCCACTTAAAACTCAAAACAGAACATATGTTTTTAGTGCAAAAGGAACAAAAATTCATTTAAATCTCTGTTTTCTGACCAAATTCAGCCTGAAAACAACAAAAGTTACAAAATCCCTCAGTATCAATAATCCCTCTACTCAGACTGCCTGAAAATGCTAACTTAATATAATTCCTGTCTTAAAAAAATTATATTATTTTTATTGGTGCCTTTTACTTTCATATTTAACTGTTATTATTTTTTATAGATTTTTTTTATTTGTTTCTAATTTTTCTTACTTGCCCCAATAACAACATCAACCTTTTGTTGTCTTTGTCCAATGACAATAAATAAAGTTTAAGTCTAAAGTGTCCACCAAAATTCACGTTACCACAAAACACTCAGATTCAGAAACATGTCAGTGTATTGTTTTTCCATTTTACTCAAAGTCCTGAATACAGAAGATCAGGATACAGAGAAAAACATCTGGGCATTTCAGCAAATGGACCCAACAGGCAGGGAGGGAACAGGTATGGAAGACATACACCAAGAGGCAGGGCATGGTTTAAAAAATACAATAAAATATTAGCTTTTCCTGTAAAACTTCCAGCACCGTAAAACCAAATCATGGGAAGTTTCTTTACATTTATTTGGTGTTTATTACTTTAAACCAGCAAGCAGAATGAAATCTATAGAGAGGAATCCAGCATAAACGGTGAAACAGTGGTAAACATCTGGTTTCCTGATTTCGACACTTTTTGGTGAAGAACATGTAAACTGCAGAGAAGTGAAGGTAAATAGATGAGGGCTGTTGCACAGAGGCATTCTGGGAAACGTCCAGCAAAAAGAAAAGGAAAAAATGAAAATATGTGAATGTGGAGTGTCGTAGTTGGAAGTTTTGGTTGTGAACATTTGTTTTAAACACATTATGGTCTCAATTTTAGTGGTGAAAGTTCACGTTGTCAAAACTTCAGCCCAGAACCTGCAGGGGAACAGATGTGTGTTAGAAACGGTGAAGCTGCTGGTTCCATTCCTGCCTGGCATGTTG